ACTTCTTGATTTTAAGCAGAAGCATACGATTGCTCGCCGTGTCATCTGTGATGCTAAACGCACTTGCTGGCGAGATTGTCTCCACCATCACCTCTGCTTCCTCTGTGAGTGCAGTCTGGAAAAAACTCTCCTGACCCGGCTCCTGTTCTGCGGGTTGCCAGTGTTGATATAGCAAACCCACTAGATGTTGCCAATGAAATTGGCAATCATCTGGTCTGTATTTCTCAGGGGCTCCATATATGCCCCTCGTTTCTTTCCTCAAAGTCTGCCAGAGAGTTAGCACCCTTGGACTTTTCTTCTGAGAAGAACAGTATGATGTGCCTTTTACACTTCAGGAACTGGAGGCAACACTCTCAGCTTGCCGATCATCGGCAGCTGGGCCCGACGACATTCATATTTGTATGCTACAACATTTACATCAGTCAGCCCTTGAAGTCCTATTACACCTTTTCAATCTTATTTGGTCACAAGGAGTTCTTCCACAGCTGCGGAAATCTGCCATTGTTCTCCCTTTCCGCAAACCGGGCACTACGGGACATGAAGCCTCCCACTATCGTCCCATTGCTCTTAGCAGTGCAGTTTGCAAATTGATGGAATGACTGGTAAATAGATGTTTAGTGTGGCATTTAGAGAGACACAACAATCTCTCCACTCGTCAATATGGCTTTCGTAAGGGACGTTCTACCATAGACCCCTTACTACGCTTGGATACGTATGTTCGTAATGCCTTTGCGAATAACCACTCTGTTATTGCCATATTTTTTTACCTTGAGAAGGCATATGACACAACTTGGAGGTATAATATTTTGGCCCAAGCCCACTCCTTAGGCCTTCGAGGCAATCTACCATCCTTCCTTAAGAACTTTTTAACTGACAGACATTTCCGTGTTCGGGTTAATAATGTGCTCTCTCTGGACTTTATCCAAGCTGAAGGTGTCCCCCAGGGATGTGTTCTGAGCACAACACTTTTTCTCCTTGCTATAAATGATTTGGCCTTTAGTCTTCCATCAAATATTTGGTCATCACTCTATGTTGATGACTTCGCTATTGCCTGTGCAGGCGCTGACTGTCACCTCATTACAATTTCTCTCCAGCATGCGGTCGACCATGTTTCCAATTGGGCCACCACACGAGTTTAAATTTTCCAGTACCAAAACTCGCCAAATTACTTTCACTAGACGCTCTGTCATCTCCGATCATCCTTTGTACCTCTATGGCTCCCGTATCCCTGAACGTGATAGTCAGGTTTCTGGGCCTCCTCTTTGACCGTAGGTTATCCTGGAAACCTAACATTACCTCTCTGAAGGAAACTTGTCACAGCCGGCTGAACCTTCTTAAAACCCTTGCTCATCTTTCATGGGGAGCTGATCGTCGAACTCTCCTTCACCTACATTCCACCCTCATTTTATCGAAACTTGATTATGGTGACCAGATCTATTCAGCGGCCTCTCCTGCTACTCTCTCTAGCCTTAACCCTTTGACTGTCGCGGCCGTATATATACGTCTTATGAGGTACCGTGTTTGACGTATATATACTCATAAATTTTAGCGGCTTCAAATCAAGCAGGAGAAAGCTGGTAGGCCCACATGTGAGAGAATGGGTCTGTGTGGTCAGTGTGCACCATATAAAAAAATCCAGGAGCACGCAGTGCATAATGAGAAAAAAAAAAATCCGACAGTTTTTTTTAATTAAAATGCCGACTTTGTGGTCTATTTTCGTATAGTATTTATGGTTGTATTCTCGTTTTCTTGGTCTCATTTGATAGAATGGAAAACATATTATAGAAATAGAGGTTGTTTTGATTGATTTTACTATAAAAAGAACCTAGAAATGGAGCTCAAATTAGGGGAAATGTTTGATTTTTGCCAATGTTCAAAAGTAAACAAATGATGCCATTGTCCAAAAAATGTCCAACTAGCCATTCTAATATGCAGTCATGAATGGGTTGATGTTATTTATTCAATTATTACAGTATTGCAGTAGTCTGCATAATAGTAAATCTTCTATTTTTTGTTTGAATAAAAATTCAAAATAGAAAGCAAGAGTAATATCAGAGGGGCCTGTATACATGACTGATGAGCAAAGAAAATGTTATTTTAGAGCCAGGAATGTCTGCATTGTTCATTCTGGACCTTATTTTGAAATTGTCATATTTTTTAGTTTTTGTGAAATTGGGCAAATTGCAAATTTCTGACCACATTATTAGGTAGTTGAAATCGGTAAATGGGCAGTTTCTTGTACTCAATCGATAGAAAAAATGGAGTTCTAAAGAAATAGCTATGAGTTTGGGCGACTGGAACAATGGAATTAGCCGAAAATAGGGCTCAAAGTGGGTGAAATTGCCGATTTGTAAACAGCGCCGAGGTTGCTAACTTCGCGAGAGCATAATTCCGTCAGTTTTCCATCAAATTTCGTTTTTTTGGTGTCATTACAATCGGGAAAAGATTCTCTATCATTTCATAAGAAGAAAAATTTTTTTTTTTTAAATTTTGCGACACCAGGAGACACCTCAGGATTGGGGGTTGCGACAGTCAAAGGGTTAACCCCATTCATCACCAAGGATTACGTTTATGCCTTGGTGCTTTTCGCTCTTCCCCTGTTGAGAGCCTCTATGCAGAAGTGAACGTTCCATCCTTATCCGATTGCCGTGATGCCCATTGCCTTCACTACTATGTACGCTCTCATGATCTCCACAATCCTTCCATTTATAGAATGGTCACCGATATTAGTAGACATTCTTTATTTGTTTGCCGTCCCTGTTTGCTCCGTCCCTTCTCTCTTCGCCTACATTCGCTCTTGTCTTCTCTTCAATTACCACCTCTCTATGTTCATGTAGCATCTCACTTTTCCCTACCCCCCTGGGAAGTTCCAGCTGTTCGAGTCTGTTCTTTCTCACTCCCTTGCTCGAAAGCCCAACTGTCTACGGTAGCTTCCCGCTCTCTTTTTCTTGACCACTTCCACTCTCATTCTCATGCCATTGCAGTGTACACAGATGGCTCTAAGTCTTCTGACAGCGTAGGATTCGCAGCAGTGTTTCCGGACAGCGTCATACCTGGGCATTTACTATCTTCGGCTAGTATTTTTACTGCTGAATTGTATGCCATTCTTGCAGCACTTATCTGTATTGCATCTATGCCTGTGTCATCATTTGTGGTTGTCTCAGACTCCCTTAGTGCTTTACAGGCTATACAGAAATGATATACCTCACCCCTTAGTCCTCCGTATCCAACTTTGGCTATGCCGTATCTTTACCAAGCATAAAGATATTGTTTTTTTGTTTGGTCCCTGGTCATGTTGACATACAGGGCAATGAACAGGCAGACACTGCTGCGCGGTCAGCAGTACATGACCTACCAGTTTCATATAGAGGTATACCATTTACGGACTACTTGGCTGCAATAGCTACCCACCTTCACACCCGTTGGCAACAACATTGGTCTACTATGCTCGGTAACATACTTCAAACTATTAAACCGAGTATAGGTTACTGGCCGTCTTCTTGTCACCAGTGTCGAGGTTGGGAGACTACTCTCTCCCATCTTCGCATTGGCCATACTCGTCTTACTCATGGATATCTAGTGGAGAGGTGCCCTGCTCCTCTCTGAGAATTGTCAGGTTCCATTATCAGTCAGCCACATTCTGTTAGACTGCCCACTTTATCAACGAGCACGCAGAATTTACCTCCGTCATCGTCTTCGCTCCGCTTCTCTCTTTACCTTCCCTTCTTGCTGATGGACCCACCTTTCATCCGGACTCTCTCATTGACTTTTTGACAACAACTGACTTACTTCACAAACTCTGATACCTTCAGCCCTTTCTACCTCAATCTCTTACTACCCTCTACCCCCGTACTATCCCCTGCCCCGCTGTTTTCTGTAACCTACTGATCATCCCTCCCTCCTTCTGCCGCCCAATACCCACGCTTCCTTCCCTACCCTGCAGCGCTGTATAGCCCTTGTGGCTTAGCGCTTCTTTTTGATTATAATAATAATGATCTTCCAGCTGCCTTACCCCTTTTTAATAATAATAAGAACAATAATAATTTTATTTTGACATGATACATAGTTGTACAAAGGAATATAATAGTTGAGTGTACATGCCAAAAGCCCCTTGTATGCACAGCATTATGGGGAAACTTAAAATTAACTTAAGATTAATTAGGCTATAACAGATTAAATGGTCATTAGGAGAGTTACAGCGTGTACAGAGAATTGAGTTTTAATAGGTAATGCTGTATGGCTTTAATAGGTCTAGTCGAGAAGTTTAGAAATGAATAATTAGTTTTGAATTATTTATAAAAATTACAGTATTACAATAGAACAATTTAAGCAATTTACAGTATGAAGCACAAATGAGTATTTAAATCGATGAAATTTGAACATGACAATTTTGAAGCATTACAGTTTTACAATAGAACAAATTAAACAATTTACAATATGGATTATTACAATTTAGTATTCAGAACAGTGAAATTTGAGCATCAGTTTTTGATGTAATGAGTACATGGTTGAGCAAGCTTCAGCAAAATATTCAGTATTGAAATTGAGACATCATTGGTACTTTTTGTGTTGCTTTTGAGTAAATGGTAGGTATTAAGTACAACTTGTCTGGTTAATTTTGGGTGATGAGATTTCTTAAGTAGGGCCTTAAATTGATTTACAGGCAGCAGGGGTCCTTCAGTGTGTTCGGGTAATGAATTCCAGATCTTCAGGCCCTGTACGTGCATAGAATTTTTGCACAGGGAGAGATGAACATGAGAGATATTGAAGAGTGATTTGTCTTGTATTATGGTTTTGTGTTCTGTTGTAGTTATCAAGTAGGAGTTTGAGAGGAGGGTTTATATTTGTAATGTAGTGTTCTGTGCATGTAGTAGGCACAATAATAAGTGTGGATGTTTTGTATATTGAGTAAGTTGAGACTCCTGAAAAGCAGAAGAGTATGCCTACCTCCCCTTTCTTGTGTCCTTAATGCACTTCTATATTTGTTCTTCTTCTTTTAATAATATTCATAATTACCTTCTACTAAATATCTTGACTAATGATTAGTAACAATATTTTAATAATTTTGTGTGTGCAGTACAGTATTAGTTATTTTATATTAATATTGATGTATTTCTCATATTTTGCAGATTAAAGTATAAAAGAGATGGATGAATTATGGGACATCTGGAATGGCCAGTTACTTGTGGGAAAGCGGGATCTTGGGCCAGCAATAATATGGTCACAGTACAACACACTTATCCCTGGACTGTAAGTTCTTTATAGGCTATTTTAAAAGGTCTTTTGTTAGGCAATATATTTGGTTTAGTTTATGATTATGACTGTAACATTGACATTGAAGTTTGTCTTGTGATGTCATGTGGAGTTTTCCAGCTAATAATGTGTAGCCTCAAAATTTCACCAAAATCTCACACTTAGGAGAGGAACTGTAGCATAACATTTTGATCCATCCTGGGTCCTTGTCAGATCATTAGGAGAGGAACTTTAGTATAACATTTTGATCCATCCTGGGTCCTTGTCAGATCATTAGGAGAGGAACTGTAGCATAACATTTTGATCCATCCTGGGTCCTTGTTAGATCATTAGGAGAGGAACTTCAGCATAACATTTTGATCCATCCTGGGTCCTTGTCAGATCATTAGGAGAGGAACTTCAGCATAACATTTTGATCCATCCTGGGTCCTTGTCAGATCATTAGGAGAGGAACTTCAGCATAACATTTTGATCCATCCTGGGTCCTTGTCAAATCATTGTGATTCGGTGATGGCCCAGGATGGACGGAAACATCATTAAAACTTTCCTCTCCACTGAGGGGTTTTGGTGAATTGTTCCAGTCACAGTATTGTGACTTTCTAATTTTCCAGCTTCAGGGTTAATAATAATTTGTGCAAATATGTAATACATGTATGTATATCATGTTCATTGTTTGCATTGCATCTTATTTGTCTGCTTCATATTGTGCTTGATGATTGCTCAACTATTTAATCATTACTTCAAACTTAAAATTCTTTCAACATCATTGTTTTAAATTGTGCTAAATTGTTATACAGGTCTGCCATCACAAATCGAGCAATCAGACTTCTGGTTCCATCGGTTATTCGGCACTAATTTCGGCTAGCATAATTTCAAATTTCCAAGGTTGCCACACCAATCTGCTGGTACTGTTTGGTGGTGCTACTTGCTGCATAAGTCATTCCCATTTCTTTTTCTCCATTTATTGTTATAACCTGCTTACTTGTAGACCTAGCCATGGTTCCAACAAATAAAAGAAGTGCTTCTCGTTGTGTAAAGCACATACAGTACATTGTACATAAAAGATAAGGTGGCTTTGAAGCCACTGTCAGTTGCCATGAGCTCAGTCTCGTGATGCAGGGGAATATGCTTTATTATTACATTAACCCTCTCAGGGTCTGTGCCATAGATCTACGGCTTTGAGTTGAGGGTCCAAACCATAGATCTACGCCATGAGCTCAGCTCACTCTGATAAACTGTGAGTGGTAAATTTGGGCCTAGATATGAGAGAATACATCTATGTGGTATGAGTGCACCACATATAACAAATCCTGCAGCACACAGTGCAAATGAGAGAAAAAAACCGAGACTGTAATTTTCGATTAAAACAGCGACTTGGCAGTGTTTTTTTGTGTGTTTCTTATAGTTGTATTTGCGATTTCTTGGTCTCATTTGATAGAATGAAAGATACATTACAGAAATAGAGATGATTTTGATTGGTATTAGTACTGGAAATGGCTTGAAACTGAGCTCAAAGTAGTGGAAATGTTAAATTTTCGCTGATTCAAGAGTTAACAAATGACCTCAGACGTTTAATACACACCAGCTGGTGGATCTAATATACATTCACAAATGTGGTGATATTATTTATACAGTTACAATATTACATAACAGTAAATCTATTTTTTGGTTTGAATAAAAATTCATTATGTGAATAAAAAATTAAAATAGAATTCATTTTTAAAGCCTCAAAACATAACTAATGAACAGAGGAAATGTTAGTTTAGTGCCAGGAATGCCTACATTGTTTATTCTGGACCCTATTTTTAAACATATTTTGAACTTTACATTAAATTGGCCAAATAACCTTTTTCCGATCACTTTATTTTGTAGTTGAAACAGTTGAAGTGGCGATTTCTTGTGCTCACTCGATAGAATAGAAGTAATACTAGTGAAATAACTAAGAATTTGGTCGACTGGAATAATGTAATTGGCCTAAAATGGGAGTCAAAGTCGGCAAAATCACCGATGCGTAAATATCGCTGACACATCAAAATTCGCGAGAGCATAATTTCGTCAATTTTTCCATCAAATTTTGTACTTTTTGTTTTATTGCCTTCAGAAAAAGATTCTCTACCATTTCATAAGAAAAAATAAAAATTTTTTTTTTTAATTCTTGGACCCTGGTGCACACTGAAATATGGCCTCTGGACCCTGAAAGGGTTAATATCAACACTACATCTTATTTGCGTATCACAACTGATTTATTATAACATAATAAACAATATAAATAACATAAAAACATGCTAAATACTCCAGAATTAATAATATTTGGCATAATACTGAGCAGTTTGACAGAGGTATTGAAGAGGATGTGGGATAAGGGTACCATTCTCCTATCCCTGTCTTGGGGGCTTATATTAGAGAAAACGGAGTACAGCACGAGGCTAACTGTGATATACACTCATCTTCTTTCAACAAACCAGCCGTATCCCACCGAGGCAGGGTGGCCCAAAAAGAAAAACAAAAGTTTCTATTTTCAAATTTAATAATTTATACGGGAGAAGGGGTTACTAGCCCCTTGCTCCCAGCATTTTAGTCGCCTCTTACAACACACATGGCTTACGGAGGAAGAATTCTGTTCCACTTCCCCATGGAGATAAGAGGAAATGAACAAGAACTAGAAAGAAAAGAACAGAAAACCCAGAGGGGTGTGTATATATACGTTTGTACATGTATGTGTAGTGTGACCTAAGTGTAAGTAGAAGTAGCAAGACGTACCTGAAATCTTGCATGTTTATGATACAGAAAAAAGACACCAGCAATCCTACCATCATGTAAAACAATTACAGGCTTTTGTTTTACAATCACTTGGCAGGATGGTAGTACCTCCCTGGGCGGTTGCTGTCTACCAACCTACTACCTAGGATATACACTCATACTGCATCATAAAACTGAAACGAAAAAGCTATTTTCTCTACATAATTATCATACATAGCAGCATATGTGTAGAGAACCTAGGATAACCCAAAAGAGTCAGTGACTAATTTCCAGTACCTGGCTTGGGCTTGCCATATATGAATTTTGGTAAATATTTCTTTTCTCAGTTGTTTGTTGGGCTATCTTCTTGAAACTTGGGCCAATGTATGATGGAAAGATGCTTCTTAACGTACACCAAAAATGAAAGAAATCTAACCTTAAATAACGGAGTTCACTTCTCGGCCATAGCCGCTCCGTAGCTGTATATTTTCGTATGGTTTTTATGGTTGTATTCTCGTTTTTTGGTTTCATGTGATAGAATGGAAGATATATTACAGAAATAGATATGATTTTCATTGGTTTCACAACAGAAAGTACCTTGAAATTGACCTCAAAGTAGTGGAAATGTTCGATTTTTGCCGATGTTCGATGAACTTTTGTAAGTCAAGTTGGTTAACTGTATTAAGTGTATTGTAACCTACCCACTCTGTAATCCAGCAAACTCAGTAATCCAGCACACTACAGGACTCAATGATGCTGGATTTGTGATGGCAGACCTGTACTGTATTTTTTATAAACTGTATTGAAAGAATTGAGAGTAAGATGGAGAGTAGGATAGCAGATGAACAAGCAGCCTTTAGGAAAGGTAGGGGGTGTGTAGACCAGTTGTTTACAGTGAAACATATAGGTGAACAGTATTTAGATAGGGGTAAAGAGGTTTTTGTGGCATTTATGGATTTGGAAAAGGCATATGACAGGGTGGATAGGGGGCCAGTGTGGCAGATGTTGCAAGTGTATAGTATAGGAAGTAGATACACAAATAACCCGCACATAAAAGAGAGAAGCTTACGACGACGTTTCGGTCCGACTTGGACCATTCACATTATTTATAGGAAGTAGGTTACTGAAAGCAGTGAAGAGTTTTTACGAGGATAGTGAGGCTCAGGTTAGAGTATGTAGGAGAGAGGGAGATTATTTCCCAGTAAAAGTAGGCCTTAGACAAGGATGTGTGATGTCACCATGGTTGTTCAATATATTTATAGATGGGGCTGTAAGAGAAGTGAATGCTTGGGTGTTGGCAAGAGGTGTGGAGTTAAAAGATAAAGAATCAAACACAAAATGAGAGTTGTCACAGTTGCTGATGACACTGTGCTTTCGGGAGATTCTGAAAAGAAGTTGCAGAGGTTGGTGGATGAATTTGGTAGGGTATGTAAGAGAAGAAAATTAAAAGTGAATATAGGAAAGAGTAAGATTATAAGGATAACAAAAAGATTAGGTGGCAAAAGATTGGATATCAAATTGGAGGGAGAGAGTATGGAGGAGGTGAATGTATCAGATATTTAGGAGTGGACATGTCAGCAGATGGGTCTATGAAGGATGAGGTGAGTCATAAAATTGATGAGGGGGAGAAAGGTGAGTGGTGCACTTAGGAGTCAGTGGAGACAAAAACTTTGTCCGTGGAAGCAAAGAGGGGAATGAATGAGAGTATAGTTATACCAACACTTATATGGGTGTGAAGCATGGATGATGAATGTTGCAATGATGAGAAGGCTGGAGGCAGTGGAGATGTCATGTCTGAGGGCAATGTGTGGTGTGAATGTAATGCAGAGAATTCATAGTTTGGAAATTAGGAGGAGCTGCGGGATTACCAAAACTATTGTCCAGAGAGCTGAGGAGGGGTTGTTGAGGTGGTTCGGACATGTAGAGAGAATGAGAGAATGGATCAAAACAGAATGACTTTGAGAGTGTATAAATTTGTAGTGGAGGGAAGGCGGGGCAGGGGTAGGTCTAGGAAAGGTTGGAGGGAGGGGGTAAAGGAGGTTTTGTGTGCGAGGGGCTTGGACTTCCAGCAAGAATGCGTGAACTTGTTTGATAGGAGTGAATGGAGATGAATGGTTTTTAATACTTGACGTGCTGTTGGAGTGTGAGCAAAGTAACATTTACAAAAGGGATTCGAAGAAACTGGCAGGCCGGACTAGAGTCCTGGAGATGGGAAGTACAGTGTCTGCACTCTGAAGGAGGGGTGTTAATGTTGCAGT